AAAATACAGCAACAATTCAGAGTACAAACAAACAAATTATTTTTGATATGTATGTAGATATCCTTTTTTATTATTATTTACACCGAACAATATAACTCCGCTAACAACAACAAACAAACCGCAGCAATTTATTTAAAAAAATATATATAAATTTATTAATTTTATTTACATTGAAAAAAATCATATAATCCATTTGTGCATATAACTTTCATTTGTATATAGAAATAAGCTTTTTTGTACATATATATATATATATATATATATATATATATATGTACATAAACACAAATCACTCACACACTTTCTCTCTCAAATTCACATAATAAACATTCTCCCTAACCACATTATTGTAAAAACAAATTTTGAAAATCAACTCTACGCCATTTTTGGGTTATATTCATTCGAAAGTTTTCAATATTTAATGCCAACAAGGTGTTCAACAGATTTACCTAAATTTTGTTGTTGTTATAAATAATTGCAGGATATTTTTTTAGTTTCATAAAATATATGAATAAAGATGAGGTACACACTTTGGTCTACGACCATAATCGATTATCGATTGGCAGTTGCCTTCACTCGGAGACCTTTAAACAATGGAATAATTTCATATTTTTCTGGAAAATAAGATTAAACCGTAACCAAGAATACAAATCTTTCACATTGGAGCATTTTTTTTTTTTTTTATTCAAATTTATTATTTTCAAATCCTCCCAAAGAAACTGAAGACTCTGTCTGAATAGGAGGTATTGCTAATTTTTTTAAACCCTTAATCAATTTAATAATCGGAAATCCTTTGTATGGAAGGTCTTTTGTACATAGATAAATATATTCTGTATCTGGAAAAACCTGCACGCTGTTTGACCTGATACCAATATTTGTACGATTGGCTTTAAATAGATATTTTAGTTTTTCATTGAGTGGCAAATTTCCCTGTTAAAAAATATCTATGTCGATCCACGTCTCCTATAGAATATCATCTATAGATAAAAATCATTCGTCTATACATTGAAGGACCTTTTTAGGCTCTCAATTTCTATATTGTGAATTATATCTAGAAAAGAAATACGACCTTTTCTTTTTTATGTATACATGGCCCTCTAAAGATTTTTTCTTTTTTATACCCTTCACCACACTGATTGCGACAAAATTTTGCACAGCGCACTGAATCAGGTCCATAATTATGTATGCGAAGTTTTGTTAGATTTAGATATAGCTCCCATATACATATAGTTTCGTCCCATTTTATGTGAATGATGCACCAAATATATATCTTTCGATTTGTATGAAATTTGACACAGCGCACTTAAATGAGTCTAGAATGACGTGTGCTAAGTTTCGTGAAAATCGGTTGAGATTTAGATATAGCTCCCATATATATTTTCGTCCGATTTTATGTATATGGTGTACCTATATATATTTCGATTTTTACGAAATTTAGCACAGCGCACTTAATTGAGTCTATCTCCCATTTATATTTTCGCCCGATTTAATGTAAATGGTACACCAAAACCCCTATAAATTTTCCGATTGGCACGAAATTTGGCAAAACGTACTGAATTAAGTCCAGAATGATGTGTGTTATGTTTGGGAAAATCTAAAGATGTTTGTTGTATCTACAGAATATTGTATATATTAGCGCCTCTTGTATGAGCTAATATATACAATTACCTAATATATACCATACAGTGGTGAAGGGTATCATATAGTCGGCCCCGTCCAACTTTTTTTAGTATATATTCCCTGAATATTCATTAATTTCGTGGAAATTATAAATTATTCTCTTTTCAATTAATTAAATTATATAAATAATTAAATGCAATTGCTACAATATTCTGTATTTTAAATACAGCATAATAATTCTGCTTAATGATCTGCTGGATTTTCAATTTCATCTGGACCTTAATGATTAATGTTTAGGACAATATGTGTGGCACACATCAAGTTTACTTTTCAATAGTCTGCTTAATCTAATTTAAAATTGTAAATGTCCTTATATTTATAACAACAACAATATTAGTATTGCAGAAAACCTCTCAACAAAATTAGACCACAAATAAAATATACAAACTCTAGATATGATATATGAGATTTATGCTATAGCCAATTTTGTTAGGAATGGACTTTTGCAAAAATTAAAAAATATAAAATAAAAATTTTAAAAAAGGAAAATACAATCAAAATATTAAAACCCTACCACACAAACACTAAACGAATGGCTGATTTTTTTTAATAGAGAGTTAATAATAACAAATCCAATTCAATGTAATAATGGGTCTGCATAATGATTTTTTAATGGAACTAGGAACAGATACAAAAATTAATTTAAAGTCCACTAGATAAATTGTATGGCACTATAGTTTTTTATATTTATTTTAAAGTCAGCCTATATAATATTATACACACACAGACACCTATACAAAACACAATCACACACAACGGTTAAAAATATACACACACACATATGTTTACTATGCAAACAATAGATATTTTTTTATACTAAAAAGACTGAAATATATAGTTCCTTTGTTTTTATGTAACTTTTTTTTTAAATATGTAACGAAATTAATATATAGTGTATTTGCATGTGTATACATAGATAAAAATATAAATTGAATGGTTTTGGATTTTCAATATAATTTATTATGATAAAAGAAAAATTTAAAAAAATTATGAATGATGTTTAAAGTGACTTTTTATTTTACAATCCAGTAATAGCAGCGATGCAATATTCTATGAAAAATGTTATATTGTAAATAGAAATAGAATAAATGCTAAGCTGCGAAACATTTCAATAACCTATATTCCGTAGACAAAAAGCATTAGCATTTCTACTATTTTAAATTCAAGGGGAACGCTTCAAATGATAGGCTTCGCTAAATAGAAAATGGTTTAATTGCCCTTTATATATATATATATATTCTAAATCTTCTATAGACATTTTTATTATTGATTGTTAATTATCTTCTATAGACAAACTAGACAAAAAAAATATTCTAAAGAAAAAACTCATCAAGACGAGGAATCCTGTAAATTTAAATCATCCCAGACTTTTCACTTTCTAAAGCTATTATAGCATGCAAATACATTATGTAAACCAAAAAAAAAATTAAAAAAGTTGGGGAAATACACAAAAACATTAACCTAAAAAAATAAAAAATAAAATAAATAAAAACGAAACTAAAGAATTTTTTTCTTATTATTATTCTTAGACTAGAGAATAAAACTTTTACTTTTTTTTTCTTTTTAAACCACTTTTGTTATTTTTTTCTTTAACTTTCTTTCTGTCTATATTACGATTTTATTATTATTTTTTTTTTCCTACTAAAAAAAGTAATAATAAAAATTAAATATATTAAACGACAAAGTAGACGTTTGGTTGTTGTTTTTTTATATTAACAAAAAAATTTAATTTGTTTTTCTTTTTGTATGAAGAAGAAGAAACAAACAATTTTATATATATATATATTTATATATTAAAAAATAGAAAATAAATTATACATGTAAAGCCAATGTGTTTATATATACATACATACTTTGGTAAATAATAATAATATTTTAGTTGTAAATTAATTATTTAATAATAATAATGTCAAAAAACAACCTTCTAGTTTGTATTTTGCCGTAATAATAATAATAATAATAATAATCTATACATTAAAAAAATGCATACATATATATTTTGTTATTTTATATTTAAATATTTAAATTTAATGAAAAATAAAGTGAATTGTGTTTAGAGTACATAACAAAAATACTATACTATATATATAAATATACATCTACGTTATATAATTATATATTTATATTTAAATATATTTTGTTTCTTTCTTTCTTTCTTTGAAAATAAAAATGGAAACATTTATATATTATTTTATGCATTAAATTAAAAAAGTAAAGAAGATAAAAAACAAAGGAGAAAAATCTATAAAAAATATATATAAAACATGTGTTTTATTTATCAAACAAAACATTTTATCGTTAGATAAAATAAACTTGGGATAAAAACCTGCAGTCTATATAGACAACGAACTGAAGCAAATTTGTAAAATGATTTTATAAAGACGAGTTCATACATAGGCTGTGGATCTATAATATAGACAAGCTGCTGTAGCCAGACTGGGCAGTGAGTCCATGCTATAGACGAGCCGTTGACTGATTTGCCAAATAAGTCTATTTGTATATACATGAGCTATAGCCACGCTGTCCAGTAGTCAGCTTATTTATATAGATGGGCTGTAGCCAGTTGGACGATGAGACTATGCTGGTCAGTGAGTGTATTTGCTGGCCAGTGAGTGTATTTGTATAGACGAACTATAGGCCAGACTGGCCAGTAAGACTGTTTCTAGAGACGAGCTGTAGCCAGACTGGCCAGTGAAACTTTTTCTATAGACGAGCTGTAGCCAGGTTGACCAGTGAGCCTATTTCTTGAGACGAGCTGTAGCCAGTCTGACCAGTGAGTCTATTTCTATAGAAGAGCTGGAGCAGGCTTGCCAGCGAGCCTATTTCTAGAGACTAACTGTAGCCAGTCTGGCCAGTGAGTCTATTTCTATAGACGAGCTGCAGCTATACTGGTCAGTGAGTCTATTTCATTAGACGAGCTGTATGTAGCCAGACTGGCCAGTGAGTCTATTTCTATATACGACATGTAGCCAGACTGCCCAGTGAGTCTATTTCTAGAGACTAGCTGTAGCCAGAATGGATCAGTAAGTCTATTTCTAGAGACGAGCTGTAGCAACACTAGGTTGGTCAATAAGCCTATATAGAGAAACTGTATGCTTGGCAGTGCATCTATTTATATAGACAAGCTGTAGCCAATCTGGCCAGTGCGTCGACTTATACAGTCGAGCTATAGTCATCCCGTCTATAGATATAGACGAGCTAACCAGTTAGCCTATAATACAGATGAGCTGTAGACAGGTGAGTAAATTAAAATAAAATATTTTTTTTTTCATTTTCAGTATTTATTTGCAAATCAAATCATTTTCATATTTTCTTTTCCTCCTAATTTATTTAGTTTTCCAATTGGGCCAGGTCTTAATTTCATTCCACAAATTGGTACCGGGACATTCAGTGGCACTAACCTGACGATGACCATACAAAGTATATTTGGCAATAATTTGACCCCGGGAAACAGCTTCGGCCAACAAATTCTTGGCGGCCTTAATTTGGGCAGCAGTGGGCTTGTCATTATTGTAGTTACCCATAAAAGAAATACCCAAAGACAGCGAATTATAACCGGAAGCATGAACACCAACAGCATTCCAACCACGTCCCTCATAAATGTTGCCATCACCACCAATCAGGAAATTATAGCCAATATCAGCCCAACCCTGAGTTTTTTGGTGATAGCTTTGAATATTCTTCATTTGGGTAATGCACGCGGATTTGGTGGTACAATAAACACCGGCAGTGTGATGGATGATTACATACGATTTACCATTGGCCAATTTATCCAGAGTGCTGGTTGAGGGAGCAGCACCCCATTCCTTGCGGGAAATGATGGTAAGGCCGAGAGCGGCATTGGCACAAAACAGAATGGCGAAGAGGCCCAAAAGGAACTTCATAGTTGTTTTTTGGGGCAAAAGAAAAATTTGAATATTTCTCCATTTGCATTTTCGGTCGTATTTATATGAAGGTTGCCCAACTACCTCAATGCGTCAAACGGCAGCACGTGATTGTTTATTTTGATAAAGTGAGAGAGTATTATTTATAGCTTAAATATTTAAAAATAATTTTTTTGGTGCTTCATAAATATTCCAATATGATTTTAATCAACTCAATATTGGCGCCTGATAAACATACACCCAATGAGATTATCAAATGTGGACATACTCGAATAAGTGTGCCCAGTAGATTTTTTGAAGTTTTAAATTAAGACTTACGACAGTGATATATTATTTTAAAAACTGATTTTATTTTATTTTTTAATTTATTTTTTTATATTTTTAATTTTAAATTTAAATTATTTAAGTCTTCTACATACCAGAAAATGTAACCGACTTTTAAGATAGAGCTGAAGTGGGAACAATTACTATAATAGGACGTATTAAAATTTGGAACAGACAATTGTTCACCATCTTAGAGAAGAGTGTAGTTATTGGAACTAAATATATAAAATATTAATTTAACCCAAAAACATACCCCTCCCCTCTACAAGATTGATCTTGAAATATTACATTTTCCCCGCAAAAAAAAACAAGATTACTAAGTCCACAATTTCCCGTGAAAAAAATCACTTCGGACATCATAAAATTATACTTGATTTTATGATTCAGAATCATAAATTGCATTCGAAATTTATGAGAAATCTTTAAACGAATGTGTTGTCTTATCAGATTTCTGTTCGCTTCATGAGTTCTAATATTAATTTATCAAATAATTATTATTTTTAATATTCATTTTTTTCGTTCAAATCATAAATAACAACGGAATTAGTTGGTGCTGTCTAACTGAAGTACTTTGTACTTATTTTATGTTTTAGTATAAAAGGAGCAAATCAGTGCAACTGGAGAACAATTCAAGTTTTTCTATTCCCAATACAACAATGAAGTTCTTCTTTGGTCTCTTGGCCGTATTGTTCTGTGCCGATGCCGCCTTTGGCCTTACCATCATTTCACGCAAAGAATGGGGTGCTGCTCCTGCCAAGAATGCCTTGGATAAATTGGCCAATGGCAAATCGTATGTAATCATTCATCACACGGCCGGTGTCTTTTGTACCACCAAATCGGCGTGCATCACTCAAATGCAGAACATTCAAAGCTATCATCAGAAAACTCAGGGTTGGGCTGATATTGGCTATAATTTCCTGATTGGTGGTGATGGCAACATTTATGAGGGACGTGGTTGGAATGTTGTTGGTGTTCATGCTTCCGGTTATAATTCGCTGTCTTTGGGTATTTCCTTTATGGGTAACTACAATAATGACAAGCCCACTGCTGCCCAAATAAAGGCTGCCAAGAATTTGTTGACCGAAGCTGTATCGCGTGGTCAAATTATTGCCAAATATACGTTGTATGGTCATCGCCAGGTTAGTGCCACTGAATGTCCCGGTACCAATTTGTGGAATGAAATTAAGACCTGGGCCAATTGGAAAACCAAATAAACGAAGGGAAACAAATAAATATGAATTGATTTTGCTAATAAACATTGCAAATGAAACAAATTTTTCTTTTTTATTTAACTAAGTCAATGAAAAAATTATCGCAGATTTATTTTACTATTTCAATATTTAATGAGTACGACATTAAGAGTATATCCAGAAGGTTCGAAATCGCCATAGGTCAAGTTTTTGAGTTATGATGTTAGTTACTGCAATTTTACCAATTCCTTGATTTTTCCTAACGACCTGACGTTTTGGCAACCGCAGCGCCATCAATTGATGCAGTCGATTGAAATGGCGAAAATGAAAAATTTATGCCTATGGTTTTTGGTGCCATACATTTCGAACTAGTTGAGGTATTGTAATAAAATTGGTGTCATATGAAAGCTAAAAAGTCCAGCCATTTTGAAATTTATTCGTATTTTCAAATATATAAAATGTATAGGAAAATTTAGTTAGAAAGTTATGATTTAAAATAGCATGAACTAAGTTTTTTATCTAAGAATATGACAACTCATTGTAAATCGAAAATATGGGGAACATACCAAATTGTGGACCTATAAGGACCATTCTATAAACCGATTTATGTATAATCTGAAAACCCCAAAACGTAGACCTATATCATTGTCGTCAGGTTCGAGTTTTTTATCACGATATCCCTAGAAAGCGGTATGATTACAACAGATGGCTAAGTCATCTTAGAATTCCTTATTTTGTACTATGTGGGGCAACCCCAACACACGGTACAAATCAGTTAACTATTTTAATACAAAAAGGGGGTTATATGGGGACTACCTCCAAAAGGGGCAAATATATATATTAATAATGTTTGGAAGGGAGATTACCATATAGAACTACAACATATCAAATTAAAGCCAAATTCGATTGAAAACCCGAAATTTTTGGGATCACTTATATGGAGACTACCCGAAAAAATTTACTTACCCATGTTTATAATTTTTAGTGGAGAGATTTGATACCCAATAAAAACTCAAAGTACTACACTACAGCCGATTCGATTGAAAAGCGCGCTTTAGATTTGCCAAAATAATTTGGGGGATACCTTATATAAGGGCTACCACAAAAAATTTACTTATATTTATAATTTTTAGTGGAGAGATTTGATGCCCAATAAGAACTCGAAGTACTACATTACAGTCGATTCGGTTGAAAAACACCCTTAATAACTGCCAAAATACTGAAAATTAGCGGTACCCTTATATGGGGTCTACCAAAAAGCTGGACCTATACTTATATTTTTAGTGGAGAAATTTGGTACCCAATTAGGGGCTATGCCAAAACTTGACCGATCTGCAGACAAAATACGTCTCTAAAAAAAAAAAAACGGAAAAACAAAATAAATATACCCTTCATATTACGGTGGAGGGTTAAAAAAGTTGACCTGAAATGAAAACCCACACAAAAATCGCTATTATAAAATTGTTTTTTTTTTTCATAATAGCAGCTGTAAACTTGTCATGTTACATTAAATTTGTGCATAAAACAATCCACCTATCAATTTACCAAACTGTCTAAAAGTATGCTATAAATTTCTTTACAAACATCAGCAGTCATTATGAAAATGACAAATTGCCGTTTTTAAAAAATTAATTTTTGTGTGGTTTTTCATTTTTAGGTAATAGGTGCCCAGCACTGAACAGTAGGTATATTTCGGAACATTGTTGAATTCAAATGCGAATAACTCAGCGATTACTTAACCGATTTAAAAAAATTTTGCACAAATGGTTCGCGGAAATTCTAAAGTTTTATTCGATACTGACAATAGATATAGAAACTTATGTTATATAAGAGAAAATTTGCATTATGTGAAAGTTAAATGTAAACAAGGTAGCATTATCTTTTTTTCGATTTACACGAAATTTAGCCTCATCGCAATATTGGTTTTTGGAATCGATTAACAAATGTCCTTCTGTCTGGCTGGTGTGCACGATAATCGTTTTCATCCAAACTGTCCCAACAATTTGTGAAAATGTTAAAAACTTGCAAATGTCATATAAAGCTAACGGATAATCCAATGCCATCGAAACTTTGGACATCGTAATATTTTTTCATTATGTAGGCTATGTCCGATGATGGGACCCGTCGGTCCACTCCTTCTGGTACCTCCCCCACAATGCGTCAAAATTTTGACAATTTGATTATCCAATATCAAGTGAATGAAATGATTATCCGATATGATTCAAACTTTGCAAATCGTAATTATTTTTTCCAAACCTAAACTAAATCCAAAGATTGGACCCAGCAATCCACTCCTACCTTCTAAAAGAGCATATATTTTATATAAAGCGAATGTGTGAAATTCCCTAGATCTCCGTAAATCATAGGCTGAGCCGTATAGCACCAACTGTCACATTTTTATTTTTTGTGTTTTTTTCTTTCATATTTGTAGCATAATCTTTAGAAAAAAAAACATTCATAATTTATGTTTTTATTACATTTTTTTGTTTTTGTTCTTTTTTTTAAATTACAAAAATATATTGAAATAAATTTTGAACGAGCACAATTAAATAACAGGTTGTCTTCATCATCATTATTATTAGATAAATATATTTAAACACACATTTCCCAATTTTGAAAATGGGGACATGATTTCTTTCCTTCTTCTTGCTTTGCTTATCTTAAATAAAATATTGATGACATTCCTGGAATAATTATTTATAATCAGTTTGTTTAAAAATAATAATAAAAAAGAATATCTTTGCACATTGCATTTTTTTGTTTTTGTTTAAACGTTTAACAGCCACTAAAAAAAGAAGCATTTCTAATAAAAAATTAGGTTCTGAGAGAAATAAAAAATAGTATTACAATTAAATAAAAAATAAAAATACAAATAATAAAAAAGAGAGTAATAGGAGGAGAATCAGGCGATTAGTTGGCGGTGGAGGAGGAGCAGGGACTAGCAGCTTTGCGTTTTTGGAGAGAGGAAGAGGAGGAAGAGAAGGAGAAAAAATTGGATTGAGGAGTTTTCTTTAAACAAATACAACAAATTTTGTGGTGAATGTACATATTTAACGCCAAAAAATCTCAAAGTACATAAAGATATTTATAATATTTATATGTATTATTTATATATATACGTAGGTATTATATGTTGATGTGTGTAGAATTGCCGTCTTCAACAAAATGTCTTCGAATGTGTTGTTCTGTTTTGTTGTTGCTTGCTTAATTGTTTGATTTGTTTGTTTCGTTTCATTTCATTTTCTGCTGTTTCTAGTTTGTTTGCTGGCTTCTTATAAGTTCTGCAAAAATGACAATAACTTCGTCTCGTAATTCTTATTGGATTCCAAATTACGCAACGAATGCCGTTCATCGGGAAATATATGCAGAGTATAGGGCTTATTTGCTTTATTCAAGGCATTGATTAGCTGCGATGTATGGAAAAAATGTACATTTTCATCGATGAGGCCATGAATGAGCAATAGACGATTTTCTCTGTAAAAAGAAAAAAATATTATTAGTAGGAAATTATAATTTTAGCGGGGTGGTTTTTGTGATTAGAATCAAAAGAAATAGTGGCTGCTGGTTTTTGTAAAAAATTGAAAACAAAAACAAATTCGTTTAATAATTAGTTTAAATCTGTTAATTCAGAACGAGAGTTATCAACAATTTCCTGTTTTTTTTATATTTATTTATGTTTTTATTGGATCATATAAAAAATATAAATAAACGGCTCAAAATTCACTCGTAAACGTTCGTATAAAATTTTACAGCAACGTTTTATTCTTAAATTTTATGATTCAAATTAATTTATGTTGTAAATCATTCCAATTCATTCGAATTAGAATTTACCAAAGCAAATTTTGTTTTTATTTAGAATTAATTGTAAATTATTTACAAATATTAGGGGGTTGTTAATTTGTAACAATAACATTCACAAAAAAATGACTTTCTAATTTGATATCATTCGACTTAAATGCTATTTTTTTTCTTAAATTTGGTTATACTTACTCATCAGGAAATAGGGGTATATAGTTGAGCACCGAACCAGCCGCGTAACCCGATTTATTATTTTGTGGCAAATCCATATATCGCTCTGTATAACCGGTATCATAATATTCCCAATTTGTGACTGGTGCACCAGCAATAGCAATTTTAAATATGTTTGGATAATGCACTAAGCCCATAAGACTTAAATAACCACCTGCAAAAAACAAAAGAATAATAGTTTAATAGAAATAATTAAACACACATATTAAACCAATAAGGAAAAATATCAAAAGTCGAACGGAGTCGGCTACATGAAACCCTTCACCACTTTGGGTACATACAAGAGATGATAATGTGTACAATATGCTGTAAATAGAAGAGACATAGCATCTTTGGAAGACCATTAAAATGGAATCGAGAGAAAAAAATTTTGATCTACATAGATATTTGAACCAATAAAAATACTATACACATAACCATTCTGAAATCTATGAACAATTTCATATCAATCGGGAAGACATGGATTTTAAATTGGATCATAAATGCGACCTGTACTTTGTTTACAATTTAAGAGCAACAGACGACAGGCATAAGTCGATTCAGAAAGTGATTCTATGCATATTCTTAAAAGGAACCATGTGCCTATCACGTTTCCTTTTGATGTAGCGACCTAGCACATAGTGCCAAGGACTACAATATTATACCTACTCAATTATCGTTCAATTTGCACGAAATTTGGCATAGCGTACTGAATTGAGTCTAGAATGATGTGTGGTAAGTTTCTGAAAAATCGGTTCAGATTTCGACATAGCTCCCCTATATATATATATATATATATAAATTTGATGTACAAAAATATTTTTTTTTTAATTTGCGCTTTTTTAAAAACAAATTAATTGTAATTTTTTTAAACACATTTTATATATAACTACTTACCATATGACCAACCATGTATACCAACACGATTCATATCTATATATCCCAGTTGATCAGCCAATATTCGTAATGCATGAACTTGATCGGCTAATTCCACTTGACCCATACGGCAACGTATATGACTTTCAAATTTAATACCACGATGTCGGGAACCTCGTGAATCTATACAAATGACACAATAGCCTTGAGCGGCAAGCATATGCATACGTAATTGATGTTTTCCCTACAAAAAAAAAAGACAAAACAAAAACAAAATTATGAAATGATAAAGAACGACTAGGCATCATGAAATTGAAATCAATAAAATATGTATAAATAATATTATTTCGTAGTAGAACCTCAAAAGCACTTGTTTCTCGTATCACATTGTACTTTTTCGCGCATAAGGTCATTGTGCTCGACTTCAATATACATACATGAATACAATTGATTAGAATGTATTTTTGCATTTCAAAAATAAAGGCCAAAAACCTTTGTTATGATTAAGTTTATTGATATAATATCTTTGATATAGAATATCACACCATATACCAATTATAGGACAACCAATGCTCACTTTCTCATTTTATTCAACTTAATGTTTATTTGAATTTCTTTGTCATATAACGACCTTACCTTAAATGTATTATTAACTGTTTGCACTTCTGGACCACCATAAACATTCAATACAGTTGGATATTTAACACCCAATTGAAAATTATGCGGTTTGAACACCATGGCATATACAATCTCTCCCGAAGGCAGTTGTGGCGAATAGATTTGTGGACAATACTGGGGTTCAGGTTTTCCACCTTCATGTAAATAGCCCATCAATGATAGTTGTATGCCATTTACACCACCATTTTGACATGTTTGCACTAAACGCATAACTTTGCACGATGGCAAACGTTGAATGTTGCAGTAAATTTGCAACATTAATTGACAAGACTGAAATGAGACAAATAAATATTCTCTAAATCGCATAAAAGATGCATATGAAACTAAAGTTACATACATCATCAAATTCTACCACATATGAATAGCCAGATTCTGTTAATTGCCGTATATGTTCAGGCCTTTGTAAACTAACAACATAGAGATGTTTTTCTAAGGGCGTTTCTCTTAAGCCTAAAAAGTACACAAGCTGTTGTTCTTTATCAACCCATAAATTGCGACCAAGCACTTCCCATTCGCCGGAAGTTAATGCGACCTGTAATAAAGTTTAGAAAATTTTATTTCTAAATAAAGTTACATTAATATCTTTATTTTTTGTTTACTTACTTTATTAATAATTCTTGGGTGTAGCGTTGCTCCATCCATAATATCGGCTTGATTTTCTGTATTTGCACCATGGAACTTTAAGCGTTGACTATTATCGTAAGAAGAGCTTGCCGCTGAAATGTTTTCATTGCAGCCATTTAGGGACTTTGGACAAAGGCTCGATGTAATTAAATATAAATGGCGAAACCCCGTTTCCTCGGAGGCCCAAAGGAAGGTTATTGTGGTGTCGGTAATTTCAAGAAAATATAATAGATCATGGACATTAATCCATGATTCTGATTCTTGAGAATATATGACCTAAAAATTAATAAAAACAGAAAAAGTTCAAATAACTATATAGTCAAATAAAAATATGATAGAATTATTTAATATACAATACATGAATAAGTAATATCTTATTTTTTGATTATAAAAAAGTACATTCAAATGAGGCAAAATTAAAATAAATGAAAAAGTTTTTTCTGTTTTATGCATTTCCTTTTAAACAAAACAGTATAATGCATAATTCCCCCTTACCTGCAAAGGAGATATCGTCCGACAAAATGGACTCTTCCAGCTATGATCGGTGGAGCCCGATGGTGATGATGTGGAACTACTATATGTTTCACAGAAATTATCTACTGGTATAAGTATTAAGTCCAAACGCTGCTGTTTGCGGTCCATTCCGGCCATCCATACACTTGAAAATAATAAAAAAAAACAATATTAAATAAATTTCCAAAATTCTACATACATATGTCCTTCCACTTACTATTTAGAATCTGGAGTCCAACCAACTCTAACTATATACTCTAACCATGGCAGTACACCTGTCAAGGAATATGGCAAGTCTTTGATGCATACATCGCTTATTTGCAAGGATTCATTTAAAATGAATTGAACCATTTTCAGTTTGGATTTTGCATTGGCGGTGCCGGTGCGTGGAAATCGATACTCTTCCATTTCACCCGGTGCAGCATGGGCCGATGGGAAGGTATATAAACAAACATCCGATTCGTCAACCTCTTCATAAACAATGCGGTATATGCCGTCTAACGGGAAGAAAAATAGAAGATAAATTAAAATGCTCAAATTGTTTTGGAAGTGTTTTACCATCAGAATGTGGCTGCCACCAATAACCCTGATAACGGCTAAACTCCTCTTGCATAACATAGGATGGCAGACCGGCACTAAGAGGATCATCGGCAAAGGAGCGTCGTCCATCGTGGGCAAACGTTAGACGTTCCTCATGACCACTTAGTGTATGAGTTACCCAAATGTCACATCCGCTTATATATGCTATTAAATCGGAATTTTGTGGGCATATTTGTGGATCCAATGCCGCCCATTGTGGGCATGTGCGCAATTGTATGGGGAAGAGCGGGCTGTTCTGTAATGTTTACACAAACATCATATATGCAGTAATTTATTTTATAAAAAAGAAATGACAAAATGGAAATGTATTTACTTACATTATATCCAGTATCCAAACACTGATACAAATCATTGAAGCATGGAAACACTATTTTGCCACTTGGTTTGTGCAATTCGTATGAAGTTATGCCCCAAGTCGAAAGACGTTTGCGTTCCTGCATTAGCTGAAATTCCCTTGACCAAACATTCATACCGCTCCCGCCGGCCGTGGCCACATTAGACAAAGGCTGTTGCAATACCACATTCCATTGAAGTCTACAACATAGTTAAATAGATCTCGTAAAAACCGAATTCTCATTCTCAACAACAACAGACCCACACACACCCACCTTTTGCCAAAATTACCATAACCTCCCAGAAATCCCGATTGCATTGTGGGCGATGATGCATGTGACGATGGCGGCGGTGATCCCATTCGTATGCTGCCACTATCATTTGGACTATCTGGCGAGGCCAAGTCGTCGGTATTATTTGTCGTTGTCGTGGCATTGGATAAATTAATGTCTGTATACAAGAGTGTTGTCTCCCAGGCATTCGGTGGTGTACTCAAGAAATAGCAACGCACGCGACCGTCGGAAAGTGTGCGAAATTGTATGCTCGAGGGCACCATGCTGCACAGCTTGGACATTTGTTTTCGTATCTCATTGACGGTTGCCTTTATTTCAGACCAACTTTTCTTGGGTGTGGGCGCAGGGATGTGGCTGTCTTCACCATCGTCTTCCTCGTCGTCGTCCTCGTCACAATCTTCATCTTCGTCATCAAGTTCTCCATGCGGCGGAGTGGTGCTGGTCGGTGAACTGAGATGATTTGAAATGGCCGAAGCAGCAGCAACCACCACTTCTGCCGTAGTTGCAGAAGCGGCCGCCGCTGCAGCTGTTATCGGTGATGTCAATGAATTGAAAGCTAAACCAATAGAGGAATAAAACGCATTGGCCGTAGAACCTATACTTGTCAAACTTGCAATGGAACTGGCTCCACCCAATGCTCCACTAACCAAACTTGCTGTTGAAATGGCGGCACCACCACCGAGGCCTACCGCTGCCGATGAGCTGCTGGAGCTGGGAGTGCTGGCAGCACTTTGACTTTGGCGATCGCCCGAAACACGAGACGTAAAGCCATCTAAAAGGTTGGCAAACGAGGAAGTATTCCTTTCGATGGGTGTTGGTGGTGATGTAGCCGGGGCAATTGCTGACGTAGTGCCCTGGCTGTTATTGCCGCCGACGCCGCCGCTACCGCTTTGTATTGCATTAATACTTCCTGATGCAGAACTGCTGTTGGTAGTTGATGTTGACGACTGCATACGATTTCTCTGCTGTGTCATGGTGGTGTCCATAGTTTGCTCCTCTACTCACACTCGAGCGCGCTCACTCCACAATTTTTCCGTCGTTAACTCCACACAAAACTTTCTAAAAATATCCGACCAGTGGCAGCATGGATTTTTTGCAAAATTGTTTGCAATTTTTGAAAATTAAAAATTTCAATTTTTATGGCGACAGTGACGGGAAGGACACTGTATTTCACTTGTGTGTTGGTCTAATGTAACCGTTGTTGTTCCTGCCCTCTCCTACTACTGCCGATCTACTGACTGTGCCTTATTCTATTATTCTATTCTGCTGCTGTCTTTCTAGTGTTTCCTCCCTGTGAGATTCCTTCTTCCTGTCAGATTCGCAATTATCATCATATTGCAGACCGAAGATATTTGTAAACCGATTTACTTCCTTTTTCCTTTGTTTTCAATCAACCAATTTTTGCAAATTTTCGTCCTACTTGGCTCGGTAGTGCTATCCACTGTAAAGAGATTACACAAAGTGTTATCCGCGATAAAATGATTACACGTTTTGTTATTCACTATAAAATGATGCCCGTCGTGCTATCCACTGTAAAATAAGAGAATGTTTATTTACCAAAACAAGGGGACTCTAATAATTGCTCCGGTCCCGTACTATTTTAATAGAAAAATTCTGGAATGGAATCTTTGTAAAAATTAAAAATAAATAAATTGATTAGATCAAAATAAATTTAGAAAAGGTTTTTTTTTAATACTGTGGGCCCTTAAGAGTGTATTTTCAAGGAACAAATGGAATAAGCTTGAATTAAAAAAAATCAAAGAAGGATATAAAAAATCTCAAAGGATTGTCAGCACTATAAGCATGGATTTCTTGGAGAATTTTTCTCATGGATTATCAGCATTATAACTGTGGATTTCTTAGATAATTGCTCTGATGGATTGTCAGTACTATAACCGTGGATTACCAAGATTATTGTTCTAAAGGATTGTTTATAACCGTGAGACTAAGACAGAGAATTTTTCTCAATTATTATCAGCATTATAACCGTGGATTTTTGTCTGCATCTTTAACATCAAATACAGATTTTATACCCCTCCAAAAATTGGAATAAACTAAAATTCTCAGATTTATTCATTGATTCTGTCCAAATTTTCATTTTATAAAACTACCTGTGTATGACCAGATTTATTTATTTCGGCAATATTAAAACTGGTATTTAAGTTTTCAGTGAGTAAGCGTTTTATTTCCTCAGTAGTTACTAAAACACAGCCGAGGTCATTCGACATCTTCTTCAAAACTCATAAGGTATTGAACATAAAATTATCATATGAAAATATACCTTGCTTTATGAAAAATAAATGTCACTTTTTATTGTTACCAATTTTTATTAATTCAATTATATATAGCTCTGTCAATAGTAGTACACTTTGGTAATTAATATGAGTCTGAGAAACATTTCTAAGCAAACATATATTCATCTCATTGATGATTGCATTTTATTAGAGAATTCGTAGTTAATTATATCGAAGATGAACTATCAATTATTAAATATTTAGTTAAATTTTCTTTTCAACGATTATCAATCTTGCTTCTCATAAACATACTAATTATTTTACTTGCCAAGTGAACTTAGTGTGTGTGTGTGTGTAAAAAGCAAACTTAATTTCTAAATATATAAATAGTTAATTTTACAGATTCCATTAGGGAGAGAAAGAGGGATAGTGGGGTTTCTTTCCTCTGTTTTATAGCGGTATGTAGGTATATCAAGAGTATGATCACAAGTGAAGTGTTGTTGAACTATGAAATTAATTCGTCTAGAGCTTTATTTTTATTATTTTCATTGCGTAATAAAGCTTCGGATATTTTTGTTTCATCGAAACCCAAATCAGCCAATTCGCTTAAGGGTATTAGATGTTCAATTATCTGAAAGTTAAAAAGAAAGGGAAAATATGAATATTCTAACCCGTTTCAAAACCTTCAAGAGTCTACTATTTATTCATATATATTTATTTATTTGTTTTGATATACCTTTTTATCATCAGCCCCCAGTAATTGAACCACTCTAGCCACACGAGATTTAGGGAAACCCATACAACTAATTTGTTCGGCAAGTTTTTTGGCATTGGAATCCAATTTACAGAATACATCATCCTCCACCACCACTACATTCGTTGCATTATTTTCCGTAAGCGTTGATACTGAAAATAAATAAAAACAAGCATGAACGTATTATTATTATTTACAATATCATTATACAAAATATTTGTTTGTACCACTATTTGTTGTTGCATCATTATCTAAATTGTGGCTACAATTCCTGGTACGCCTTAACTCCGAATTGCGTATTTCATCTCTAAGCTCTTTAAGAATATCGGGAACACTTTTCCATTTGTTGGTGTCCTGTGATACCAAATCAGACGTTTGGCTAGCATTAATACCGGACGCTGCATATACATTGGCATGCTGGGGATGTATACTGTTGTAGTTATAGCCAACATTACCAAATGCATGTACCGTATGATAGTGGGTTGGTTGATTTTCGAGACCAGTAATTTGCTGATGATGCTGCTGTTGTTGTTGGTGAGGAGATAGTATTGTATTGATATTGTTATAGTTCAACGCCGCTGCATTGTAATCATTAAGTTTGTTTTGAGCTTCCTGAGCTGAATTTAAATTACCAAGGTCATAGCTAAATTTTGGTAAATATGTTGTTGGTTTTACTTTGATTGGAATGTTTTCACTAAGGAACATTTCGTTTTGAAGATTATTCTGGGCTCCAGTAGTTACCGCTGTACTTTGCATGTTTTCTGCATTCTCTTTTGCCACATCTGGAGCGGCCGAGTTTGATGCTTCAACATTATCATCTTGTCCATTGCTGTCCGACTTCAACTGAGTATTATGCAGTACCTGGGCCAAAACATCTAAATCATTTATAGTTTTCAATTCTATGTTGTCGAACGGTGACGATGTATCATCCTCGAAATCTTTATAATTAAATGTTGACGACGTTGACTGAACTAGGGAATTTACATTGTTGGCGATACTATTATTGGTGTTGTTGGTTGGACTATTATAATTGGACAATACTGTGGGTTGTAAGATGTTGTGGAAGCTGTTGGCCGATTTGGTTACACATATTTCCGGAAAGCTTTCTACAGTCACTGCGGTTGGGGTTCCGTTCGTTTTTGCTGTTGTCGATTCCGTCGTATCCGCCTCAGCTTCACTGCCAGATGACGACAATTCATCGGCACTTGGATATGAGACACACATTAGCAAATTTCTTTGTCTTTTTTCATCCTCTTGTCGTTGCAATTCCCGTTTTGTTTTACGTTCCAGTCTAGCATTCTTATTACGCTGTCGTATCCGTTTCCATTCACCGATCTTCGTCAGAGCCTTTCGCTCCAGTTGCAAATCATATTGAAATTGTGGCGAATCTTTGTAATAGTTTTCTGGCAAATTCAATTTGTTTACTAATGACTGGGGTAATTTGTAGATTTCTGGTGGTGGTTTATATTTTTCTGCTATCTTAACCGGAACACCTTCCATGTAGTTGGCATGGCTCATAGTGTATTGTTTAATACCGGATGCAATAATCTTTTGGTGATTTTTCTTCGGTGTATTTACAACAAATTGAATCGGAAAAAAATAAAAACTTATAATTTTTTCCTCCGATATAGATTTTAGCTGTGAAAAGAATAAAAAAAATCTGCAGATAAAACAGTGTTGCCAAGCCTTCATTTCAATAATGATGAATCACGGAAGTGCAATGATGGAATATATATGTTTAAAATATTGGACATTATATTTATATTAAAAATAGAAGTGTAATATGTTTTAATATATGTTTAAATTTATTACTTTTAAAAAATTGAAGAATAGTTATTAAAAATTTGCAAAAAAATATATATATATAAAAATATGAAATGGCAACACTATCATATGTCTTCTTCTTCAGACATATGTTGTAGAGTTAGGTAGTTGCGGAATGAACTAGTTCATTTGAACTATTCAGATAAGGAACGCTAAGTACAGTTCTTTAGTATCTCCCAGCAAGCATTTTCTATCGTCATTCTATAAACTGTTCGAGAAGAAATGAACAAGCAATTGTTACTTCTGTAAAATATCGCCTTTGTGACAACTGAAAGTTTTGATATCGATAATGGTTATGTAACAAAGGAGTATCATCTAGGAGTTTAGAAAACGTTATAATGAAAATACTCCCTCGTTACGCTTTTACTAATCTGATACGCTTTCGCTAATCTGACATCGTTCCTTTATGTCCATATTCTGCATTCGTTCTCGTTCATTTTTCAGATGCTTCACATTGTTAAAACTATACATTTTGAGCTTTTTTTTTCACATCCATCTATTAAGCAAGTCGTAACTATATTTGCGGACAACACAAAAACAACTATGAAAGGGAGAAATTCAATGGAACAATCTAGAAACTGGAACTAAATGGAGGAAAGGAACTATTTATGGATATAGTTAAATTTTAAAAAGATCGAGAAAGGCCGATGCTAGTACTGCTACGTTAACCAAGAAAAAACATATCCCCATAAGTAGGCTAAAAATAACTACCTCTGGAAAAAAATTTCAAAAAATCTGATCATTTTTATCCCTTCACTAGAACAGGGAAAAGAAAAAACTCTCATGATTCGCGACCATGTAAAGTAGGCCTAATAAATGTAATGCAAGTCAAAACACGATCTATAAAAACCTAACTATAAACAAAAATCTTCCGCACAGTATTCACAGACCATATAGACCAGACCATATATGTTATTTGAAATTCCATGGACGCTAAAACGAATTTGGAAAAGGCTTTGGCCCTGAATCGTCAATTGCAGCAACAACTCTATACAGTTCGTGAAAAAATTGAAAAACTTTTAAAAAATGTCAAAGAAATTTACGAAGCAAACGAAGAACTGGTTCGCAGTAGCGTTACATCCTCGAAAAAGAAGGGTGTTGGAATGCGTGGAGCATACTTGAAGGGTGGAACATTCTACTTGAAAGGTAGTATGTTCTTTAAGGATTTCGATTGTCGCAATTGTCCCGACAATGCAGATTATCATGCTCGCCGACGGGAAGGTGAAATGTTTCCCCGAGATTTGGATTTGAAAAGCCGACACTTATGGTCGTATAAGGATAAAAAGGACTTATTGGATGCCATAAAAGAACAGGTTGGTTTAAAGGATACAATAATGATGTAATTTAAATTAATTCGTTATTGTTTTAGATAATTGAACACTTAAAGACAATTGGCCGAACCACAGACGACGTTGGCAAAGAAATGAATAGTGAGAAGCTAATTACATTACTACAAATGGTTTCAAGCGAATTTCGCATTGATTGGGATGTTATATCCAAACATAATCTGCAACATCGCCATTCAATAACAAGCTGTGAGGCCATATGGAATCTCTATCTTCATCCATCATTGAAACGTTCATCTTGGACCGATGAAGAAAATAATAAACTTTCCGAGATTGCTAAGAAATATAATTATCAAAATTGGCAAGCTATTGCAAATGAAATTGGTAGAAGATCCGAGTTTCAGGTAAGTTAAAAAAGTATATAATACGTATGTAATTTAATTAATATAATTGAATCCTTTCAGTGCTTTGTGCAATATCAGAATTATGTTGTCTATATGACATATGAAAAAACCTGTAAATGGACCAAGGAGGATGATGAACGCCTAATTGAGGTCATCGAAAGAAATACCATAAATGATCAAATCAATTGGAGCAATGTTATGGTGCACTTTCCACATAGGGCCAGGACAACGTTACAGTGTCGATATGCATATTCACTAAATCCACGGATTAGTAGAAGTGAGTACAAACTAGAATACAACATTATACCAATTGTGCTTATATGGAATATTAAAACTGGATTTGGACAGAACTAAATTAACACCACAGATAGTTATTGGAATTCCAATGAAACCTATATATGTCTGGGAAGTCCATAACTAACAAGATATTGGCTACTATTTACTATTTAAAACACACAAGGATTACTATGAATTCCTTGGGGGCACTTTATAGCTCCCAATATGGCTGGATCCCAGATCCGAAGATATGACCAGGTCCAGATTACAATGACACTAATTATTTAGAGAACTTCGTTTACCAGAGGATATTTAAAATATTAAACCCATCCGGGTTTTACTTAGTTCAGTTATATTACAGGGGATCAACAGACCGAAGTCGGACAATAATTTTAAATGAAAATTTGTCCATAGGAAAAGTTTCAACTTTGATGCACAATGTAACATATAGTCCTGATAGGTTTAAAAATACAAAGTAATAATGGGCTAATTAAAAAAAAATATGGTCCGATATTACAAATATTTGACTGGTGGCATTTTCTAAGTATGAAGCAAACAAAAAAATCGCTGTAATCAGGATCAAAATAATGATTTTGTGTTAAAATTTTCGATTTTTTTTAAAGAGGAGCTCCTAAAGAAAATTTTTTTGTACAACTTTTGTTATTATCATTTCTTAGAACCCTTTACACCCGAAGAAGATCTTTTGTTGCTGGCAGCAGTCAAAGAATATGGCGCCAAATTTTCCTATATTCCTCGTACACTTTTCCCCAATCGCACAACCGTACAGCTGCGTTCACGTTATCACAACGTGTTGATGCACAGACACAAACAACAACCTTGGACACTGGAAGACGATACAAAATTAATGGATTTTGTAACTCAACATGGTCCAACATCTTGGAAGAAATGTTCAGAATATATACAAAATCATTCACGTATAAGTTGTCGTACACGATTTATGGTAATAAAGAGATTTTTTGAAAAGAATCCTAATGCCAGTCTCGCCGATTTGGTAAGAATAAAGAAAAAACGATATTCTTATGTCGATACGGAAAATTGGACAGAAAAACTGCGAGAGTTACAGGAAAATCCCGATGAACCATTGGTAAAACCTTTAAAAAGACAGCGACAAAAGAAACCGAAAATTAAAAAAGAACCAAGGGAAAAAGTTGAAAGGAAAAGGAAGCGGAAACCAAGACCACCCAAACCAAAAAAACCACCAGCTGTAAAACCGCCGCCTGAGCCAAAACCAAAAAAACGTCGGCAGCGGAAAATCTATATTAGACGTCTGCGAAAAAATGGTTTGATTTTGTATAATAGCGTAAAATATGCATACGATTATAAATTGGGTGTAGATCCGGTTACAATCAACTGCGGAAATTATAGTAAATTACATTTTGTACGTCAAGCATTGCAATTAAAGGATCGCGACGATGGCAAATATCATCGTTACGAAGACCCCATACCCAGACCAATACGTTATAGACTTAAGAATGCCCTGGAATCAAAGAATAATAATAAAGATATCGAAATACCCAATGGATTTTCATTGCCGACAAGTTGGTCCACAGCAATGGCATTTCGTGCCTTATGTATACACACAGCACGTTCTGATCTTGAAACTGTACCGTCACCTAATACGGATGATTCAAACGAACACATACAACTGTTTCGTCAGCGTTTTCGTACATTATTCTATACTACGGGTTTACTGAGTCGTATACATCCAAAAATGGTTGGTATCGGGGACTCATTGGAACAGGATATTCAAAATACATCACTTGAAATAATTAACCCAGATGATTCAATAGATACTTCGCTAAGGTCAACAAATGATGAAACATCATCTCAAGTAAATAATCAAGATGTCGTTAATGATTCATGTGATAAACGTAAAACTGCTGATTGCGATGATGATGATAACAATGGAATTGAGGAACCAATTTCCAAACGCATGAAAATTTCACCACAAAAGAAGCTGTCATTGGTTGATCAAATATTAAGCATTAAACGAAAAGAACCAGCACCGCCCCTAGAAATATAACATTGTTAATGGATTAAATACATGGTATAACTATAGTTATGCCATGGATTAAATTATAATGTTATGTATCTTGTAATGTATGAAGGACTGAAATAAATATAAAAAATCGTAAATCTATGTTCTATTTTTATATAAAGATGGAAAATGTGCAATATACCACAGATCTTTGATTTTTCGTAGATTTTATTTCCCTTCTTATTAATATTCTTATCATCTGGTCTATCCGTCGGGTAGACGACATTTGCGAGAGAAATTAGGGGGGACAAGTCTTGGGGTGTTATATAAAATGTTCATCATTTTCACTGGAGAAACAGCGCTAAACATGTCAGTGGTGAGTCCGAATTCAATTTTATGTTTAAACTAGTAAGCCAAGCAGTTTAGTAGGAAGAAAAAGTTCTTCATACTCAGCAATTCTTCCTGTTGGATAGTAAGATCTATCGGCTTACATTTATTCTGTTTAACTCAAATATAATCGCCTTTTACAAGACAGATATTAAAATAGTAAAATAAATCTGCGATTAGATTTTCTTAAAACAAATTGAATAAAAAAAACACTTTCTATTTTCAACGTTTCTTAGCAAATCAATTCAGTTTTATTGGTTTCCCTACATTTATTTGGTTTTCCAATTGGCCCAGGTCTTAATTTCATTCCACAAATTGGTACCGGGACATTCAGTGGCACTAACCTGACGATGACCATACAAAGTATATTTGGCAATAATTTGACCACGCGATACAGCTTCGGCCAACAAATTCTTGGCAGCCTTAATTTGGGCAGCAGTGGGCTTGTCATTATTGTAGTTACCCATAAAAGAAATACCCAAAGACAGCGAATTATAACCGGAAGCATGAACACCAACAACATTCCAACCACGTCCCTCATAAATGTTGCCATCACCACCAATCAGGAAATTATAGCCAATATCAGCCCAACCCTGAGTTTTCTGATGATAGCTTTGAATGTTCTGCATTTGAGTAATGCACGCCGATTTGGTGGTACAAAAGACACCGGCCGTGTGATGAATGATTACATACGATTTGCCATTGGCCAATTTATCCAAGGCATTTTTGGCAGGAGCAGCACCCCATTCCTTGCGTGAAATGATGGTAAGGCCAAAGGCGGCATCGGCACAAAATAAAACGGCCAAGAGACCCAAGAAGAACTTCATTGTTGTATTGGGAATAGAAAAACTTGAATTGTTCTCCAATTGCACTGATTTGCTTCTTTTATACTAAAACATAAAATAATAAGTACAAAGTACTTCAGTTAGACAGCACCAACTAATTCCGTTGTTATTTATGATTTGAACGAAAAAAATGAATGTTAAAAAAAATAATTATTTGATAAATTAATATTAGAAGTCATGAAGCGAACAGAAATCTGATAAGACAACACATTCGTTTTAAAATTTCTCATAAATTTCGAATGCAATTTATGAGTCTGACGATAAAACGTATGTACATCAAGTATAATTTTAGGATGTCCGAAGTGATTTTTTTTCTTCACGGGAAATTGTGGACTTTGAAATCTTTTTTTTTTTTTTTTTTTTTTTTTTTTTTTTTTTTTTTTTTTTTTGGAGGAGGAAATAATTATTGCGCAGAATTCCTTTATCATTTCAATGTGAACCTTGTTGAAGGGAATATTTTTTGGTTAAATAAATATTTTAAGTATTTACAGAAGAGGACTCCTGAAGGAGTTCAATAACTACAAACATCGCTAAGATTGTGAACAATTGTCTGCTCCAAATTTGAATACGTCATACTAAAGTAATTGTCCTTACTTCAGCTTGTCTACATAAACAGACTCACAGATTAGAAAAATAAAATCTGTTACTAAAATAATTTATCAATGTCGAAAGGCTTAATTTAAAACCTCTAAAAATCTACATGGCACACTTATGTGAGTATGTCCAAATTTTATAATCTCATTGATAATTTATGAACAATCTCCGGGGGTGTGGTTATCAGATCTCAATATTGAATTGATTAAAATCATATTGATATATTTATGAACTACAAAAATTAATTTTAAATATTTAAGGCTATAAATAATACTCTCTTACTTTATCAATCACGTGCTGCCATTTGACGCACTAAAGTACTTGGGAAACCTGCATATAAATACGTCCGAAAATCACTTGAAATAATTAACCCAGATGATTCAATAGATACTTCGCTAAGGTCAACAAATGATGAAACATCATCTCAAGTAAATAATCAAGATGTCGTTAATGATTCATGTGATAAACGTAAAACTGCTGATTGCGATGATGATGATAATAATGGAATTGAGGAACCAATTTCCAAACGCATGAAAATTTCACCACAAAAGAAGCTGTCATTGGTTGATCAAATATTAAGCATTAAACGAAAAGAACCAGCACCGCCCCTAGAAATATAACATTGTTAATGGATTAAATACATGGTATAACTATAGTTATGCCATGGATTAAATTATAATGTTATGTATCTTGTAATGTATGAAGGACTGAAATAAATATAAAAAATCGTAAATCTATGTTCTATTTTTATATAAAGATGGAAAATGTGCAATATACCACAGATCTTTGATTTTTCGTAGATTTTATTTCCCTTCTTATTAATATTCTTATCATCTGGTCTATCCGTCGGGTAGACGACATTTGCGAGAGAAATTAGGGGGGACAAGTCTTGGGGTGTTATATAAAATGTTCATCATTTTCACTGGAGAAACAGCGCTAAACATGTCAGTGGTGAGTCCGAATTCAATTTTATGTTTAAACTAGTGAGCCAAGCAGTATAGTAGGACGAAAAAGTTCTTCATACTCAGCAATTCTTCCTGTTGGATAGTAAGATCTATCGGCTTACATTTATTCTGTTTAACTCAAATATAATCGCCTTTTACAAGACAGTTATTGAAATAGTAAAATAAATCTGCGATTAGATTTTCTTAAAACAAATTGAATAAAAAAAAAACACTTTCTATTTTCAACGTTTCTTAGCAAATCAATTCAGTTTTATTGGTTTCCCTACATTTATTTGGTTTTCCAATTGGCCCAGGTCTTAATTTCATTCCACAAATTGGTACCGGGACATTCAGTGGCACTAACCTGACGATGACCATACAAAGTATATTTGGCAATAATTTGACCACGAGATACAGCTTCGGCCAACAAATTCTTGGCAGCCTTAATTTGGGCAGCAGTGGGCTTGTCATTATTGTAGTTACCCATAAAAGAAATACCCAAAGACAGCGAATTATAACCGGAAGCATGAACACCAACAACATTCCAACCACGTCCCTCATAAATGTTGCCATCACCACCAATCAGGAAATTATAGCCAATATCAGCCCAACCCTGAGTTTTCTGATGATAGCTTTGAATGTTCTGCATTTGAGTAATGCACGCCGATTTGGTGGTACAAAAGACACCGGCCGTGTGATGAATGATTACATACGATTTGCCATTGGCCAATTTATCCAAGGCATTTTTGGCAGGAGCAGCACCCCATTCCTTGCGTGAAATGATGGTAAGGCCAAAGGCGGCATCGGCACAAAATAAAACGGCCAAGAGACCCAAGAAGAACTTCATTGTTGTATTGGGAATAGAAAAACTTGAATTGTTCTCCAATTGCACTGATTTGCTTCTTTTATACTAAAACATAAAATAATAAGTACAAAGTACTTCAGTTAGACAGCACCAACTAATTCCGTTGTTATTTATGATTTGAACGAAAAAAATGAATGTTAAAAAAAATAATTATTTGATAAATTAATATTAGAAGTCATGAAGCGAACAGAAATCTGATAAGACAACACATTCGTTTTAAAATTTCTCATAAATTTCGAATGCAATTTATGAGTCTGACGATAAAACGTATGTACATCAAGTATAATTTTAGGATGTCCGAAGTGATTTTTTTTCTTCACGGGAAATTGTGGACTTTGAAATCTTGTTTTTTTTTTTTTTTTTTTTTTTTGGAGGAGGAAATAATTATTGCGCAGAATTCCTTTATCATTTCAATGTGAACCTTGTTGAAGGGAATATTTTTTGGTTAAATAAATATTTTAAGTATTTACAGAAGAGGACTCCTGAAGGAGTTCAATAACTACAAACATCGCTAAGATTGTGAACAATTGTCTGCTCCAAATTTGAATACGTCATACTAAAGTAATTGTCCTTACTTCAGCTTGTCTACATAAACAGACTCACAGATTAGAAAAATAAAATCTGTTACTAAAATAATTTATCAATGTCGAAAGGCTTAATTTAAAACCTCTAAAAATCTACATGGCACACTTATGTGAGTATGTCCAAATTTTATAATCTCATTGATAATTTATGAACAATCTCCGGGGGGTGTGGTTATCAGATCTCAATATTGAATTGATTAAAATCATATTGATATATTTATGAACTACAAAAATTATTTTTAAATATTTAAGGCTATAAATAATACTCTCTTACTTTATCAATCACGTGCTGCCATTTGACGCACTAAAGTACTTGGGAAACCTGCATATAAATACGTCCGAAAATGCAAATGGATAAATATTCAAGTTTTTCTTTTGCCCCAAAAAACAACTATGAAGTTCCTTTTGGGCCTCTTCGCCATTCTGTTTTGTGCCAATGCCGCCCTCGGCCTTACCATCATTTCCCGCAAGGAATGGGGTGCTGCTCCCTCAACCAGCACTCTGGATAAATTGGCCAATGGTAAATCGTATGTAATCATCCATCACACTGCCGGTGTTTATTGTACCACCAAATCCGCGTGCATTACCCAAATGAAGAATATTCAAAGCTATCATCAGAAAACTCAGGGTTGGGCTGATATTGGCTATAATTTCCTGATTGGTGGTGACGGCAACATTTATGAGGGACGTGGTTGGAATGCTGTTGGTGTTCATGCATCGGGTTATAATTCGCTCTCTTTGGGTATTTCTTTTATGGGTAACTACAACAATGACAAGCCCACTGCTGCTCAAATTAAGGCTGCCAAGAATTTGTTGGCCGAAGCTGTATCTCGTGGTCAAATTATTGCCAAATATACTTTGTATGGTCATCGTCAGGTTAGTGCCACTGAATGTCCCGGTACCAATTTGTGGAATGAAATTAAGACCTGGCCCAATTGGAAAACTAAATAAATTAGGGGAAATAAAATATTTAAAATGATTTGCAAATAAATATTAAAAATTAATAAGGTTTTTGCTGTTTTTGTTTTACTCACTTATTAGATTATCTATAATCACTGATTAGCTTCTCCATATCTATAGGCTGGATGGCTACAGCACTTTTATATAAATAGATGCAATGGCCCGATTGACTACTGCTCGTCTATGTAAATAGACTCACTGGCAAATCTTGCCTATATAAATCACTGGTTCACTGGTCTACAGCTTGACTATATAAATATACTCACTGGTCAGCCTGGCTGCAGGCCTCTTTATACATAGACTCATTTGGTCAACCTGTCAAAAGCTCTATACCATGGACTCACTGGTCAGCCTAGCTACAGCTCGTCTATACTATAGACCCAGAGTATTGGGAAAATTGCAAAAACTTTTGAACGAATTCTGATATTTGGAAAATTTAAACGGTTATGAGCAGTTTAAAGCTCTGTGATCCGCTATGTGGAATATTTAAAATCCCGACCATAAGTAGTTTAATACTTGCATACTTAGCTGTCTTATGCCAGAACGGTTGTTCCATAAGCCAAGCTTACAAAAGATTTCAAAGCGCGTCGGTCTTGTGCGCATCTCATGCAATTTGAAATACCATGTTTCGAGATGTTGTATTCTGCTTGATCTTTCCATTGAAATACCATGTTTCGAGATGTTGTATTCTGCTTGATCTTTCCATCGGATTTGTGGCCTTCCCCTTCTGCGTAAACCAACAGCTGGCTCGCTTTTATATGCCTTTTTATTGAGGGCAACCATTAAAAGGCATATAAAAGCGAAAAAAGGTCACAACATGACCTAGCCAACGTAGTCGCTGCAACTCGATCCGTATGACCAACGTAGCCGCTGCAGCTCGATCCGTCTGTCGCTCTCCGATGGTATAGCTCATTGGTCCATTCGACGGCGATATTCACCGTCGACGCAGATCGACCCATAGTTCTTCCGGAGATTTTTCTCTCAAACACTCCAAGAGCTGTCTCTTCTGCTTGCGCAAGTACGCATTTTTCAGATCCATACCACAGCACAGGTAGTATCAGCGTCTTGTAGAGTGTGAGTTTGGTCTTGCTTTTGAGTTGCTTACTCAGACCATAATAGCATCTGTTGGCCAACACTATTATTCTCCGGATTTCAAAGCTGATGTTATTAGTTTTGCTTTTGCCGGTACCAGGGTATATAAAATCTTTAACTACCTCAAAGCTGTAGTTTTCACAGTTGGTCTGAATCTACTGGACGTATTGCGCGTTGATACCATCAGCTTGGCCTTGCCGCCATTTACTGCCAGTCCCACTTTGGTAGACTTCTTCTGAATTCGTACAAAGGTGGCGGCCATGCCATGCCTTTAAACCTGAGCGGATTGGGCTGTCGAATGCGTCATTGTGGTCGACGAATAGGTGGAATGGGTCGATGTATTTGGTTTTTTTCAGGATTTGGTGCAGTGTGAAAATCACTTATTGGTTCTTGGGTAACTTCATCACCGCTACTATTTGATACCATAAAATCCCTCGGTTTGTTGTTTTACTCGTTGGTAAAATTTCGGGACTTCATTCTGACACATTTTTACTTGCTTCATTTATAATATTATTGTGTTTTAATCTTCAAACATTCCTTTATATTCTGTTTAGTATAACTTTTTTGTTTTATTTAACATAACAACAATGATGAGATACATGTTTTTCTTATTTAGTTTTTTTTAGTTGTGTCAAATGTTAAAAACTAAATACCATTATTATTTTCTCACAAGAGTATTTAGTGATAGATTGTTAGGTTATTCTAAGTTTTTTTTGTTATCTTTATAGCGGTTGTTATTTGAAGCAACAACAACAATAATAAATATATCTGATATATAATGTTAGGTATGTTTTTTTATATATATGTATGAATAGAATCATTTTAGATATTTGTTTTTTTTTCTAAATAATAATTGTTATTAATTCTAGAAAAAAATGTATAGATGGAGGTTTTCTTAAAACTTATAATGCCAACAACAAAAACTTTGCCTTGCATAGTTATTTGGCGGCGGGTTTTCTTTTATCGTAATTTTTTTTTTTGGAGGAAACTATTAAGGGTGGGGAGGAAGTGTGATTTATTGAAAGTTGCTAAAATCTGTTTTCAGTTTTATTGTTGGTTTCTGTTGTTTCTCAAGACCACTACGAGCCTGTGCCGTTTGTTGTTGCACCCGGCTGGCAATTGCGGCAGTTTGTTGTTGACAACGAACGGCAGCTTCCAGCTTTTGCCGTAGTTCCGGTGACTGACTCATTAGCGATTTAAATTCCTGGGGATATTTGGGGCCAATTTTCATCAACCACTGCAAAGACTGTTCGTGTAATTGACGTTGATATTTGGGTAAATTGCGTAGCTTTGAAGGTTCGGCCAAGTAATTGATTAGCACCGGTACCAACAATGTTAACATTTGTATTCCTAGATAATGGATATTAAGAAAAAATTAATTAAAAAACTTAGCAATAAGAAATTTAAGGGACAACAATAATTATATTAACCACAACAGAATTCATTCACTTAAATTAAGTTTTTAAAATGCTCATGAGTTATGAGATGCTATAGAAATATATATGTATGTACGATGTATATAAATTTACCTTGCATAAGATTTCCTATGTTTTTGATGGTTATTTTTTGTTTGTTTCGTATTTGAAATATTTTGAAATGTTAAGGACGAAGATGTTTTTTTTAGGTTAGGAAATAGAGATGGTATTGTTGTATATAGACATAAAGAGAATTTGCATGATGTTTTTGGTATGTGTAAGAAGAAAACAAAGACAAACAAGAAAGAAAATACAAATGATGTTATATTTATATTTTGTAAAAAAAAATTTGTTTTTAGTTTTATCGAATTTTAAGCCAGATTTTATAAATTGTAATTGTTTCCAATAAAGGAAGGAATGAAACGCCAAGATTTGTTAGAAACAATTTAAGATTAGGTTTGTACCATAGTTTTTGCCTCATAATACACGATACAAAATAACAAATTGTAATAAATTATTTTTTTATATTTTATGCTATTATTATTATTATTACTTATTATCGGCAAAATAATATACCCATTAATACTTTGGATCCATGCCGGGATGTTCTTCCGTATAATATCCTGTTCTGTGACATATATAAATATATATATATATAGTACACTGTGCTAATGGTGAGAGTTTACTTCACCATTTACATAAAATCGGACAAAAATATATATGGGACCCATATCTAAATCTGAACCGATTTCAACAAAACTCCGCATACATCAATCAGTACCTTATTCAGTACGATATGCAAATTTTCATTTTAATCGAACAAACATTGAGAGTTCAATCTTTTTTTGCATTTCCATTCCATCCTTTGTGGAATAATTTTCTATATATATATCACACAATAATGATTTGTCATACTAACTACTAAGACGTTTTTCTACAAAACAGAAAATTCCAACATTATTCAATACAATTGCTGATATACTTACGATTTTGTGGTTCAGCCAATTGTATAAGAGCTTCCACCGTTATTATACTCTCGAGGATAATTTGTAATTCCATTTCTGTGCGTGGCTGTTTGGCTGTCTCCACGTAGAGACCCTCGATGATGCGTGGCGCCAAGGCATGTATATAGGGTGTGGAAACTTTCAATTCCGAATTGGAAAATATCAGACGTGCCGATTGTATACATTTCAATTTGACCGACATATTATCCGATTGTAAATACTGGCGGAAATGATTAATGCAAGGATATTGTAGGGAGGGTGTGGAGACCACCGTGTCCGGGGTGTGCAGTATGAAAACGGCAATAGCTCGCAACATTGTAACTTCGTCCATTTTACGATCATCGTTATCACCACCGGCCGTTTTGGTCAGATCTACAATTGTGGCCAAAGAACTTTGTAGCAGCTCTTGCCATTCACTGGCCACGCTGGAATGGGTGGACCATTTATCTTTACATATTGCTTCTAGGGTGTGTAGGGCCGCCTGAATTGCTACTGTGTTGGCCAAAATTGTTGAATCGATTACGGATTTGTTGGCAATCTCTTTGATAATTGATGTGGTCATATATAAAATTGTGGGGAGTATTGCTAGGGCTCCTTTGGGAGAACATAGCTGGGTAAGTTCCCCTACACATTCCAGAGCACTGGCCACCAAACGACCATTATCTTCGGCAAGTTTGTTGAAGAAGGATTGCGAACTTAATGCAGTTTTGGCTATTAGATCTTGACGAAATTGTACTGTATTGGCGGCTCCCGGGTTCATGGTGGGAATTTGTCGCACAAACAGGCATAGACAAACTTCCAATACAGCGTAGATGTGAGAAGAACCGGGGGTTATTTCACCCGACGCCCCACCCTCGCCCATTTGATCAATTTGTTCTTGCAGAGAAATGTTGTCGGTGTTCTCGTTGTTTTTGTTTTGTTCCAAAAATTCATCGCGACGTTCATCCAATTGCTCCTTGGAAGCCCTAACAGATTGCTTGAGTATTTCAATACACAGCAGCTGGACAAACAAATCATCACTGGTTAGAATCTGGCGGTGTAGAACATTGCACAGTTCAATGGTTAAAACTTTATCCTTGACCAATTGCCGGCGTGCCCATTTGGAATCGAATATCGTATACATCGATTGTAGACAGCTGATGACATTTTTGGGTTTCTCTGAGGTTCGTGCACTACACAATGCCTCCATACATATGCCAAAAATCATATGAAAACGATCTGCCGACAATGAGCCATGCGATATGTTGTTGTTTGTTTCATATGTAGAGCTATCGGAATTATCCGTTTCTGTGGAATTTTGAGTATTGGTTTCTAAATGCAATTGGAATCCTTCATCCTTTAGCCATAGGGATGCGGCATATAATATTGGTGGCCATGATGCCAGATAATGAGGCTTCGAGGAGTTAATGGTATCGGGGGTATAAAATGCTCCACCATCATGTGGTAATTGACTTTGGAATTCTGGTGGCAATAGCAATAAAGCATGATCTTTCATAGCAGCCAACCAATGGGTTGAGAGGTTATCCAATTCGGGCTTCACAAGCGACAACAGGCTTTCACAGTTCTTATCGAAGCCCATGGCATCTTCGTCGTCAATGGTTAATGTGGGCACAACATTTGAAATTGTCAATTGTTTTTGTAACAATGCTGCCGGTGATGAACCATTGGATATCATGGCAACAATATAGACTTCTGCCCAGGCTTTCAAAATGCTTAGTTTTTCCAATGTTGTCATGGATTCATTAAATAATTGGGTACTATTCGTTTTGGTGTGCAACTTGTTGAGAGAGGATACTAATAGTTGATGAACTCTGCGCAAATCATTGAGATCGCGAGCAACACCCGATCCAATCCAGGCGGAACATACTTCACAAGCAGCTGCTGTGACATGTGATGGTGTATCTGGGGCAAATGCTGGTCGTAATGCTGCTCCAACCTAAAGGGGATAACAAAATAATAAAAATAACAATTCGTTATTCATTTTTTCAAAGATTTTTAATTTTTGGTGTTTAATAAAATATATTAACAATTTGAGTCGTCTGACAACATACCTGCGCCTGAAATTGTTCTAATAGCAGATGTCCAGGAAACTCCGGTTCGGGAACATTTGCAAAACGATCAATGATCTCCTGTAGGGTTCTTAAACCCTCCAAACGTAACTGATCCGAATCCGAAGTGGCTGCTATAAATGACATACGTATCAGCTCTGACAGGTGCAGAATTAAATAATCTCCACTTGATTTGGTCATTTGCATTTCCTTGGCTTGCAACAAATCAAAATGTATCGGTGAATCTGATTCACATGCTGACATTATTTTACGCACAGACTGGGCGGCAAATACTCGTGTTGTCCAACGTGGTTGCACTGCCGGATGTGTGGAGGCATTATCTGAAGCATGATATTCTGTAACATCGTCGGCATCATCTTCATCGTCGTCATCATCATCAACATCTTTATTGGCAGCGGCTGCATTGTTACCACCACTTGCCGCACCGGAGCCGGCTGATTTTGTATTACCACCATCAGCCTTGGAAGACAAAGCTATATCATCGGGCAACGGGGAATTTTCAACGGCCACAGTTAAGACATTTTTACACAAACTTAGCCATGAGCTGAGATTTTCAGCAGCCATTAACTGCAGCATGGAGGTCAGCGTGTCATGAATGTTCTTCAACATTTCAATGTCCGTTTCAGAATCTAACATTGCAAAAATTATACCGGGAAGACCAAATTCGGTAATGACTAGTTTTGGACAATCATCGGGTTTAATGGATAAAGCCAAGTCGCAAACTTCTTTGGCCTCACGATGGGCCAATTGTCTTAGGCAAGATATGGCTGCCTTGCGTTGGGTCAAATAATTGGAGCAGAGATTGCGTACCAGGGTTGGGACCAATGAGGGCAGATGGACACTGCCGGGGGCAAAAAGATGGACCTGTTGTATACAGCCAGTTGCTTCGGCTTGTACCAAAGGATCGGTATGGTTATGCATAACTGAGGCAGCACAAAGGAATGATTGACGCATTTTAACAATGGCCTGAGCATTGCCCTATACAAGCGAAAAAATTAATATTTTAGTACTATATATGGAAATCGTAAAAATAAATTCCACTCACCTGTAACTCTGGACCCATTGTGGTAATTAAAGCATTCAAAACCCGGCCAATACATTGATGTACATCCACATAGGATTGTGGCACATTTAGCAACAGCTTGAGACACAAAGTCAATGTGCCTTCCACATAGCTACGGAACATGGGTCCCCCAGAATCGGCTATCAATGCCAAGGCGTGTAAAGCCCATAGTTGTACGACCGGTGATGAGATATCCTGGGCCAAAGCCAATAATATCGAAACACTGGTATTCAAATGCTGCGATGAACCCATACCACCAACATAACGATGTAGACAACCTAATGACAGTGAGTGTCCCGTACGTGTTACCACATCCCGTGCCGATTTTAATTTATCAAATGAAATTTGTGCCAATTCCGCAGTAAAACGAGATTCTCCCACTACTTGGGCTAAACGACCCAAAGCCTCAGCTGAAGCACAACGCAACATTGAATTTGAACTAATTAGACCAGTTGTTACCAAATTGGTGAAACTTTTGCGTACATCTTCTTGGCCAATGCCAGATTTACTGTCGGTCAACACTTTAAGGCCGCACAACAGGGCTGTATAGATATTCATTTGGACAGCTTCTTGGCGGCTACTCTTGGCCTGTTTAATGCATTCGGCAAAATGATCCAGCATCTGTAGACGATGTTTATTAGCAACTTTGGGAAATATCAGACCAAACAAGGCGATGGACATGTCGATAATGGCCACACCCAGGGGTAGGGGTCCTGGGCATTGATCTGCCTTATAGCCATAGGCACCATTTGTTGTTATCGTTGAAGTGTGGTTAACGGTGGCACGATATAAACAACATGGATCATGTTCCAAGGCACCCGAACCTGCTGCACTATTTGGTTGTAACTAAAGAGGAAAACAAGGAGAACAAAAATGGTATTTTTTCGAATAAAAATTGTAAATAAAAAAAAAATACAACGCAGCATAAACAGCACAAAGAAACCAAATGAAAATGAAGTATAAAATAAAATCGTTAGATTGTAGACAAAACTCAAAGATAGACTCAATAAAAACAAAACAAAGCGGGAAAAGTTATCGAACCAGCAACAAGTCTGAAGAAAACAACTTACATGATCACCATCCCATCTACGATTCGGTTCCATCTTTCATTTCATTCGGTTAGAATTGTAAAAAATTATTTTTTTATTATCATTATTAACATTTAAACAAATAAAAAATACCGATTGTTCGGTCCGGCCGAACATTTAATACCCTCCACCACCATTGAAATAATTCGAAATATTTTTTGTAAATATGGATTTTTTAAATTATTTTTTGAAGATCTTAATTTTTGAAAATAATACTCAAAGACGTGGATAACTCTCTTCGATGTCAGCAGGATTATTTTGGAGAGTTGCGGACAAAATATACCTTCGGGTGGAGGATATATATTAAACAAGCATGGTATGCGAAATCATTTCCTCCCCATGAAATCGGAGGGAAACGATTACACATTTCATCAGTTTGATTTAATCCAATATTTCAATACCTGATCTTCTATAATACGATGATCCGTTTCTTGCAGCCATGTACCCAAAATGACAGAATCTTCAGCATGGCATAGATTTCGCAGTTGAGAATTTGTTGTATTTGCTGGATTTTCGGCCAATGTGAATTCCGATATGAGCATTCTCAGTAAATGGGTATACGATGATTCCATGGCATTAGCTGGTAACTGTGACAGGGTTTCGTACAAACGTAAACGTACCATGGCAGCTGGGGCCTTCAATTGAGTGCCATAACTTTTTAATACTGAAGAAAGGCTATTGAAAAATAGAAAATGAAATTGAAATTTAAAAAAAAAATACATTTGAGGGCATTCAGCGCACTACTTACTTTACCAACATGGCCAAAGCACTTTCAATGGGTGTCATCAGACGTTTTGTAATATCCTCACTAATCAAATCGGGACAATTGACCAAAAAGCTGTGCATTACCGACAATGCACCGGCACGTCCTTCCAGTGTAACTTGCCAGGTAAATGAATCACCACGAGCTTTTTCCGATTCCAATTCTTTATTGGAACGGGGGAATGAATGACGCCATAGTAGAAGTAAGCGTGGCAGTAAACCTTTAACTACCGGTGAACCCAAAGTCATTATGGCTCCAATCAACAACCAACCAGCCTGGGTACGATTCAATGACATACGACTATTTTGGGAGGCGGAACGTAACAACTCCTCAGCAGCATTAAATACCACTTTACCCTTAGTGTGGGGTATGCCCAGCGGAGAATAACGTACACTACCCAAAATGGCAGCCAATGCACTGCTATAACCAGCAATGGCCTCAGGCGATGAACGCATCTGTTCCAATGCATCCACAAAACGATCTATCAAGGGTGTTATCATACTCGGCACTGCCACACAGAAGCAGCGTAAACACCAGGCCGATGCCAATCTTGCTGCTGCACTGGGATGTACCAATACGGCACAGGTGGTATCAATGGCATTCAGTGTTTGATCGGCCAATAGATTTTGTGCTGTTGTACCCAAACCCAATACCAAAGAACCCAATTCCTGCAGAGCACATACCAAAAAGTGTTGACTGAAGAGGGTTTCTTGATTCGAATCTTTGGCATTCTCGGGATTGAAATCAATGGAATTCATTTGTTTGGCAATCATGTAGACCAGCTCCTTACACGCCGAGGTTTGGGCCTTTTCACCCAACATTTTTCCCAGTACGGAACGTAAAATGAAATTAATACATTTGCGCGAGTACACCGCATCCACATGAGATGAGGCTGCTTTGGGATTGGCCACCAAGTCAAGGATGTGTGATAGGAACACGGTGAGATTGCGTTCAAGCCAAACACTACCCATGTACTCAACAAAGACCACATAGGCATGTGTAACACCCACACGTATTTCACGGTTTACACTGGAACTACCTTTGATTATCTCGCCCGTACCCTTAAGAAATGAACCACCACCTCTTAGAAATCCAGACATTAGAATATTTAAAGTTTCATCTAGGGACACAGTACGCATTGCAGTCTTCGACTGGGAACTTGTCTGTACGGAAAGTTTCTTTGCATTCGCGTCATTTTGTTGTTGTTGAGTAAATGCCAAAAGGGTGCCCAATAACTTGGCCACGGCACAGCGAACTTCATAATTACTACCATCGAATGAACGGAAACACAATGCTGGTAAATTTTCCAATTCTGTCTGATATAGGAAAGGGGCATGCTGTATCATTTCTAAAATACAACGGGAGGCTGCTACCCTGACGGTCATAACACGATCTGTCAGGCAATGTTTGGTGGCCTTGTAGATATCTTTGTGGACATTTGCAATTGCGGTGCCCATGCCGGCACACACCTTCTCCAATGTTATCATAATTTCAATACGGGCCTGTGATTCAGCGTTGCGTAGGGTGCGCAAGAGTAGGCTGACGGTTTCTTCGTATGAACGACCCATCATGCGTCCCAACTTTTCGTACATTGAACCCAAAACACATATTGCAGCTCTGGAGAAAATATAAAAAAAATATTGGTGATTATTACATAAGGAAACCATTTTTGAATACTTACAATTTTGTGGGCAAATAACTAGGTGAATCATCCTTATTCTTTAAGATGTCATTGCACACATTTGCCGTATCGAACAACAGGAATGTATCACCCACCGAAAAGAGCGTAGCCAAACAATTGGCCAATAGTTTGCGTGTTGGTGGCCCAGGCGAACCATTGATTTGTGCTGTCAGCTGCTGCACCAATTTCTTTTGATTTGTCTTAATCTCATTGCGATCTATGGTCAGCAAGGTCTTTTCCAAATAACTCAACCATTCGAATATGAAAACGGAACGTTTCGGTTCCGGTAATTGTTTGAGGGCATCTTCATTTAGGCATAAACTATGGGCAAGCTCCATAATGTCATTGATATGCCTCTTAGAGGCAGCAACACCACCAGCTGAATTAGCCTTTAGTTGATGATCGGTGGCGGCGGCGGTATCAAATAGTGTAAGTGATCTAAAAAGGGGAAGAGGAAGAGAAAGAAAATGTTTCATTATTTTCATTTCATTACCATGAACAAATTCTTTGTATTACTAATCCCACTGATGTGTGTGAGTGTGTGCGAATACGAATGAGGAGCTCATAATTGACTGCCTATATTGAAAAAAAGACAAACAAGAGTGGTCATCAGCGGAATACATGACGTGATGCAAAATAAAATATAAATATTAAATATGCTTAAGTGTGACCAATTGAAAAGTGTGACATCTCACATTAGGGTGTATATAGTAAAAAGGGAGATAGTGAAATTTATTTCTGTTTTTCCATTAATAAAAAACCAATAAAAATATGCTTAAAGAAACCTCAGAAAACTTATTTATGATATTTGGGTTAATGAAGAACAAATCAATACAAACTTTTGTTAACTAGAAATGGGTTTTTCGAATTAAGGTGACCCCCCATTCTCGGGGCCAAAATTGTTTTTGATTTAATTCGAATCTACACTAATTCAAGAATGTCCCTACAAAATTTCAAGTGAAAATCTCAATAACTCTTGAAGATATAGCCGATTTATTGTGTCAGCATCAAGTGATGGCTAAAGGGCTTCTCAAACTTTTAACACGTTTTTCTCTAAATATTTTTTTGCGAATGGCGGGCACGATAACTCAAAAACAAATAACCCAATCGATTCCAAATTTTTACACGTTTCTCTGTGAGTGTATAGCTATCGTATGAACTAGCATAAAGCCAATCGGTGAAGATCTTCCTTATTTTTTAACTTGGTTTTTGGTCAAAAATCGGCGATTTTTCAAAAATATTTTTCCAAAGGTCCGCCATTTTGTTAATTTTAGAGCGAAGTCAATAATCCTAGTTCATACGAGAGCCAGACATGTACTCTTTCTAACACCGTTGAAATTTTCGGATTCCGATGTTCCAGTGTGCCCGCCATCAAAAATAAGGACTTTTCTTTAATCACAAAAAACAACAACAAACATTTTTTGTAAATTATTTTTCTTCCTTTTTAAATCTTCAAATATATATGTGCAAAGTTACACACCGTAACAAGCATTGGTATTGATTTACCAGCCCATTGAAAATCTTAAAAATAAAAAATCGAGAATGGGGGGTTCCCTTAAACGAATGCGCCGTCCTTGGTATTCAATAGCCACATGTTACATGTTCCAAACCCACATTCCAATCTAAGTGGCTGCATTTTGGGATTTCATGTTCCATGAGATATGAACGATGTAGGCTTCTCAATTTGGGTATTCTGAATTGTTTTTTAATGATTGTCTTGGGTATGGAAAATAACTACAGAGTCTACACGCCCTCTTACCTCCCTCTTACCTCCTCTATTTTGAGAACTAATAATGAAATCATCTCACATAGAGGGATTTAAGGGATTTCGCCTTGGTTTCAGGCGAGTGGAAAGTGGTTAGATCTTACACGTTGGTCAAGGAAAGGTCTGTGATAAGGGGTAACCGATATTGAATGCCGAAAAGCACATTACGGCATCGTAAGTTTTCTCCAGCATCCATTATCGTATAATGTCCAATCGCGTATTATTTCAGAACTTCCAGAATGCGGGGTATTTGGAACATATCCAACATGTGAACTTCTGCCTTATGACTGTTGTTTGGGAAAAGAATTTACAAGAGGTCATAAAGAGCTTCATAGGCGTGGATTTTTAAAGAATTTTCCAGAGGCCATAAAGAGCTAAATAGGCGTGGATTTTTAAAGAATTTTACTGAGGACAAAAGAGCTCTATAGGCGGAGATTTTTAAAGAATTTTACTGAGGACCCACAGAGCTCTATAGGCGGGGATTTTTGAAGAATTTTACTGAGGACATAAATAGCTCTATAGGCGGGGATTTTTGAAGAATATTCTACAGACCATAAAGAGCTCTATAGGCGGGGATTTTTAAAGAATTTTCCACAAGGCATAAAGAGCTCCATAGGCGTGAATTATAAAAAAAGTTTCCGGGGGTCATAAAGAGCTCTATATGCGCGTTTTTTAAAGAATTTTCCAGACGCCATAAAGAGCTCCATATGCGCGTTTTAAAGAATTTTTCGAAGGCCATAAAGAGTTCCATGGTCGTGGATTTTTAAAGAAGTTTCCAGAAATCATAAAGTGCGCCTATGGAGCATGTTTAAAAAATTTTTTAAGGCTTACATTTATAAAGAATATTTTCAAGGTCACACAAGGTTTATGGTGTGGTTTCTTAAAGAATATTTTAAAGCTCATGTTGGACTCCAAAAGGCGTGGATATTTAAGGAATTTTTCAAAAGCCATATATGCCTCTAAGAGCCTGGTTTTTTTAAGAATTTTTCAAAGGAATCCAAAGGCATGAATTTTTTTAAGATTTTTTTTATAAATGGCATATTGGCCTCTAATAAATATTTCATTAAGTTTGTAAGAAGCGGATTTTTTTTAATGAATATTTGAAGAATCATATGAAGGTTTAGAGGGTATATTATTTTTTTTTTTTTTATTTTTTTCAAAGACATCTCAGAGATCCAACGGTGTGGAATTCAAAAATTCATTGTCATGGATTTTAAATGAATATATTTCACAACAATGAACAATCCTCTCGTTATGCTTGACATTGCTCGTTCCTCCGTTGGGCAAATCATATAAAAGATCATTAAATGCATCTTCGAATTGCTTCCTCATTTTCTGGGTATATTATAAGAATACTCGCAAGAAAGAAATTTATTCGAATGAAGAAGAGAGATCGTCGAGGTACTAAGGTAAATAATAACGACATATCGGTTACAACGACTTATCCAAAAGACCCGAGAGACGTTATGACTTTGTTTTTGTATCGTTTAAAATGACATATCGCATACAGCGACCAATTTCGCCGGTTCCTTGATCATCGTTATCAGCGATTTCGACTGTAATTTAAAACGACTTATAGCTTATGGCGCCCAATTTCACCCGTCCCATTATCCAATATCGACATATCACACATCATTCTAGACTTAATTCAGTACGCTATGCCACATTTCGTGCACATCGAAAGATATATGGGACTTTGGTACACCATTTACATTAAATCGGACGAAAATTTGTATATAGGAGCTATATCTAAATCTGAACCGATTTTCACGAAACTTAACACACATCATTCTTGACTCAATTCAGTACTTTGTCAAATTTCGTGCAAATCTAAAGATATATAGGGACTTTGGTTTATAAATTGTACATCCCAACAGACACTACCCTGTAATAGAATTCCAAAAGCTATTGAGTCATTTAATTTTTTTTCAAAATGGTTTTTGTTAAAATGCCTATAAGTGAATAACACAAAACTGTGGAACAACGAATATATGACGCATTTATTATTTTATTCGCTCACATTCATTCATTCAATTATTCGGAGCACAAAAACTGTGCCAGAAAATTTAATGTATTCCGTACAATATAAAAATTTTGCACTTAAAATTCCATAAAGAATAAGGAGAAACCTTATTCTTTTTTGGATTTCTTTTCCATTAACATTTATGTAAACACACACACACACACATTGAATACACTTGCACTGCACTACTGCAAGGGAAGATGATCAACAGGTTTTGGCAGAAAAAAGGAATCTTTTTTTTTTTTTTTTTTTGGAACAAGCAAGAATATTGCTTCTTTGTTTTTAAACGTATTGAAGATGACGATTCTTTCTTTCCCTCTCTGGGCCTCCATGTTAGGATGTAATATTTTTTCAACCAAGACCTGACGCGTGAAAGTAAACCCACAAAATATATGTATTTGGAACATTTTTTCATGTAGAATGAAATTCCAAACTCCTTTAACGTTGTCATACTACTTGATCGCTTGTATTTTCTTTTGTTAGTTTTTAGCCATTTTGGGCCTACCTACCTTCTGGCCTCATTGAAGACTTTATGCAAAAAGTGAGGTGTGCGAACAACATTTGTTTCTGCCAAATTTGCCATTGCACATATTTGGTTAAAAAGAATGTTGTTGTTTGAATGACTTGGTGGTGGTGGCGGCTGTTGAATAGTAGTACATCGATTGTATGCTATTTGGTTAGGACCACTAGTAGTAGTTCAAGGTTGATGCACATAAATATAGAATATTCCATATATGAAATGTTAAGTGGTGAACACACACGTTTTATTATAAATTTTTATTTTGCACTGAGCCTTCTTTTGTTTTCGAAACAAAAAGGCAATGATTGATTTCCTTTGTTAACTGGCCTTTCTTTTCATCCAGAATAAAAATACAAAAACATAGAAATCAATAAGCCATTATTTGCAAGTTCAAAGGCTATGACATTGAATTTATTATTGAGTTGGGTCTTTCACATATATATAACCATTGAAATTGATATTTCTTCTTCAATTTTGGTTTTTTGCTTTTAAAACATTGAAATAATTAAACAATGACTTAATTTTGTTTAAAGCACAGCAACAACAACTACGTTTTTTTATTATCCACTCAAACAATTTTGTTTACTTATGGTGCTCGGTTCGACCGCCGCTGTTCGCTTTAATGTTCACTCGGGGTAAGGCGAAACGCCACTATTCTTCTAGCTTTTTGACTTAAGGAAAAAATGTACAGAGAACTCGCGCGGCACAGACAGACAGACATACACTAACCAACCACATCGTGTAGAACACACATGCTATGTGATGGTAATGCCGGTGCCCACTCACTCACTACTCGTTCACAAGTAAAAAGAAAAAATATTTATTATTATTTTGCCTTTTCTCATTAATGTGTCCAATATTGGGATGACAGCCGACACACAGGGGTTGCAAGGGTAACAAACACACATCGGGCGTAGGGGTGGAGAGGAAGTAATTCAAAGGTTAGGGTGTGTTTTAAACAATTGATGCTTTGCAAAAAATAAATGTGAGCACACACAAAACACATTTTAAAATACCGACTGAAATGCATTTTTATTGTTTTTTTTTTTTTT